AGTTAAATATGGGGTACAAAGTAATGTTATGATTTATGAATACAATGTAGAAAAATTATTAATAAATCAAGCTAATTAACATATCCATTACCTCAAATACTTATCATTTTTTGTGGTAAGAACTTTTGAAATTTATTCTCAGTGATTTTGAAATGTACATTACTAGGTTATTAAGTATGAAATGTCTGATTTCCTTAAGTACTAAGTTTGACAGTTATTATCTCTGACATGTCACTTTGACACTTCTAGTTTTATGTTTATTGTGAAGGTATGTCCTCACTCTTTCAAACACATGTTTTGGCTTGTGATTATCTTTCAAATTTTTTTTAGAGCAATTTTTGTGAAACCATGGATAAGTCAAAAATTCATGTTATTTTCGAATATGAGTTCCGTTCTGGAACCAAAGCAGTGCAAACAGCTCGAAATATCAACAAAGTGTTTGGGAAGGATGTGGCTAATGAGCACACAGTACATCAGTGGTTTGAGAAGTTCCATTCTGGTGTTTTTATTCTTGAAAATTAGCCACTTGGGCGACCTGAGACCAAGGTGGATAATGATGAGCTGAAAGCTATAGTGGAAGCGAATCCTTCTCAACGTACGAGTGAATTAGCAGCAAGGTTTGACATCACTATTCCAACAGTTTTAGACCATTTGAAACAAACCATCAAGGTAAAGAAGCTGGATAGATGGGTTTCGCATGAATTAAACGAGCATCAGAAGAGAAATCGTCTCGAATCTTGCCTTTCTTTGCTGTCACGACATAAAGGTGAACCATTTCTACACCATATTGTTATGTGTGATGAAACATGGATTCTATTTGACAATTGCAAGCATTCAGCACAATGGTTGGATAAAGACAAAGTGCCAAAGCACAGTCCAAAACCGAATATTCATCAAAAATAGCTAATGGTGTCTGTTTGGTGGTCTAGCACTGGTATGATCCACTACAGCTTCGTGAAACCTGGTCAGTGGTTTACAGCAGATGTCTACTGCAACCAGTTGGACGAAATAATGAGGATACTTACGATTAAGCGGCTGAGATTGGTGACTAGAGACAGGCCAATCCTCTTGCAAGACAACGCTCATTTCGCACAAAGAACACTGCTCAAACTACAGAGGCTGGACTTGGAAACTCTCTGTCATCCACTGTATTCTATTCACCAGACCTCACACAGGCTGACTACCACTTCCTCCAGGCTTTGGACCACTTGTTGCAAAGACAAATATTCAGTTGTTAACAAGCTGTGGAAAAAAGCCTTTTGCAATTTCATTGCCACTCACTTTCTAGGCTACTTTGCTGCTGGCGTAAACAAGCTACCATTAAGATGGCAAAAGTGTATCAATAGTTTAGGCACATGCTTTGATTAATTGTACTGCTTCTTGTTAGAAATAAAATAAACTATTGATTCACAATTGAACATTTCATATTTAATGACCTAATATTTACTGTGCTCACCACACTGTGCAATATATCCAAAAAAAAAGAAAAACTCAAAATGTATTCTCCCTGTCTAATTGTGGCTTTGTGTCCTTTGACCGTCATCCCGCCAGTCCCCCCTCTTTTAATCTTATGTTACCTACTGGACATTGTGGATGATGTGTTGTAGAGACTCTGGATGATGTTATTTTTCTCTAAAGAGTTTTGCATTGCATTCTCTATCAAGCCCATAAATTACTTTTGAATCTTTTTGATCTTCTGGAAGCTTCATTTTGGGCTTTGGTAGGGTGAGTCTGTTGCAATTTTGTCTTTAGTCCTGGGAAATAGCTCTTAGTCCTGGGTCATGGTCCTTCCTCTTAAGGTAGGACTAGCAAACTATGGCCCGTGGGCAAAATGTGGCCTGTTGCCTGTTTTTGTACAGTCTTTAGCTGAGAACAAGCTTTATATTATTAAATGGTTACTTTTTAAAAGACTCTACAAGCACCTACATAATGTTTTCAATTTTACCTCTAAAGTATTTACCATGTGGCTCTTTAAGAAAAAGATTGCCATCCTCTTCTAATTTGCCAGGACTTGAATCGCCATGTTCTTTCTACTTGGCAGCAGGCAGCTCTGCTCAGATACTAAACCTAGCTGTTGCTTTCTACTGGGTGCTTTGGGGTCCACCATTTAGGAATTAGCCAAGGATTTAGGGGGATTTGATACAGATTTCGACTCCTTTATGGCACGTTTTCTTTTACTTTCTTGCATTTCTGGTATTCTCAACTTCTGTGTCCTCAGCCCGATAAGACTCCTGCCTTCTTAAACTCGATTCTACCATGCACTGCTACAAACTGAGAGTTTGAAATATTAAGTCCTCTCCACTTTATGTCTACTTTTGGTTGCTTTTCCAACAGTCGTTTTCATTGTTTTGTCTAGAGTTTATCATTTGTATCAGGACGGTTAATCTAATAAAAGCTCTCTGCCATTACTGGTACTAGACTGCACTGAAATTTGAAGCTTAAAAGAGTGAATTTTTAACTATCAAACAAAGAAAAACTTGGGTATACAGAAAGTTCATCACTTAAAAAAAAAAAAGGAATTTAGAGCTTTCAAATTGTCTATATTGTATCTAAAACAAATCAGCTGCAAAACTATTTTACCCTCTGTTCTCATACACAGTGTTAACAGTATTGTCTTTGGGTCATATGCCCTATGGCATAGGCCTATGCTCTTCTGTTTGTGATAAAATAATAGTTTTGATTAGAGAGTTGACATTACCACAAACTACTTTCTTTCCAAGAGAAAAATGAGAAAATCACTTTTCCATGGTGATTGATGATGAGGTAAGCAAGTGATTTTCTATATAAAGTAAGGGTTTTTTTGTTTTTTTGTTTTTTTGAGACAGAGTCTTACTCTGTTGCCTGGGCTAGAGTGCCATGGTGTCAGCCTAGCTCATAGCAACCTCAAACTCCTGGGCTCAAGTGATCCTCCTGCCTCAGCCTCCCAGGTAGCTGGGACTACAGGCATGTGCCACCATGCCCG